TTGTTTTTTTTTTTTTTTTTTTTTTTTTTTTTTTTTTTTTTTTTTTTACATTTTAGTGCTTTAAAGAAGAAAAGGAAGAAGGAAAGAATCCAGGGGTATGCCTCATACCTGGTCATTCTAGAAGCTCAGAGAATTTGATGACACCAGGCATGCCAAGCTTGTGAGCTGCCTGAGGCCAGTGATGGTCACAGCTACGCCTCTTAGGGTTACACTATGCTTTCTGTGTAGAATGGACACTTTACTCTGGGGCTGATATCCCTACTGTGGTCCCAGTCCCCCACCCCTTCCTCCCTCATATGTGGGGTCTCGATGAAAAGGATGCTGATTTTTCATACCCCTTAGCCTCTGGTATGCTCATGTGAACAGTTACCCACAGGGAAATCAAAGCAGAAATGTGTTCTTACACATTAACAGGTTCTTTATTTTCCTAAAACCTGGGAAATGTTACTGTCACTTCCCCTTTATTCTTACTTTTTGTTCCCTTCCATATGCCTGGAATGTGGATATGATGCCTGGAGCTACAGTAGCAATCATGACATCCAACAGAAGGAGAGGTTGGAAATCATGGTGTCACCAAGTCAGCGACACCATCTGCATGTCAATGAGACAGTATTGGCCCTTTGAGATGGACTCTGCTGCCGGCAAGCAAATCTCACCCAGCCTGGTTCTCCATTTATTTTTCACAGAACACTGTGAAATGGGTATTCCTTCATCATCCCTTCCAATAAACACTTATTGATTGTCTACTGGGTATCAAGTTCTGCTCCGGACACAACAAAAGCTCCAAACCAGAGAGAGAATAGCTTTGTTTTGTTGGAGCTGCTATCCTACCAAATGGAAACAAACAAGACCCAAACTCATGTTACAATGGGAATAAATGGGATGTATTCTCATGCAGGGTTTTAAAAAATGCACTCTGAACACATGAATTAGAAACTCCAAGCCAAGAGCTAACACAGCCATCCTAGATACAGAACCTAGATACGCACTGGAGGGGACCAGCAAAATGAATCCCATCCATGCTCTCAGCTCAGGCCATTATAGCCATTACATTACCCATGGATAGATGCTACTCTAGATCACCCAGGACCCACAATGACAAAACACATAAAAAAACTCCGCTCAGCATAAATGAGACTCAGCAGATACCAACAGCAATGGGATCAAACCTGTATTCCTCCAAAAACTCCAGGAGAAAAATGTTGTGAAGCTTGACTTAGCACCACACATCCTCAGTCCCAGCACTCAGGAGGCTGAGGTAAGTGGATCTCTGTAACTAAGGGAGCTCTAGTAGCATGGAGGTGCTTGGAGGTGGCATGGGTTCCTTCTAAGTGTGAGGCATACAAGGCAGGCAAAAGGGCCCTGTGTGGATGGAGCCTGGGCTCTGCCTCCAGCTATGTAGAAGGAAGTTCCTAAAATGAGTTGTTAGGAGTGTCACATTTCTTTCACTTTGGGGTTTACATCCCAAGATGCTTTCCGATGACAGTACACAGACAAAATTTGCTGTGCAAATTCTTTTCTGGCTCAGCTGTCACACTTTAGAACTAAAGTGCTCTGAAAAAAAAAAAAAAGCTGCTGACCACATCTGCCAGGCTTTTAAATATGGGGACCAGAAATAAGTCTTTTCAGACTTTGTGTCACATGTCCCTGAAACAATGGGACAACGACCTGGAGCAGAGATAGATGCGTCAGTCTAAGACAGCCACCTGAAGACTGGACAGAAGATTTTTGGCTCGTGGTGGTGGGTGACCATGGAGCTGTTTGGGGGTGGCCACCACATGAGCCAATCAGATCTGGTCTCATTTTGAATTGCGGCAGAGGCTGCAAGAACACTGGGTAACAAATATCTCTAAAACTCCATACTTTCAATCAACACTCATGAATTGGTTTTCTGTTTCTATAACAAACACCCAAGATAATGAGCTTAATATGGTTTATTTTAGCTCAGTTATGAAAGTTTGGGTTCATGGTCACTTGGCTCTATTACCTGGGTCTGTGGTGAAGCAGCACACCATGGCAGGGTGTGTGTGGGGAAAGGAGCTGTTCATCTCATGACAGCCATGTAGGAAAAGGCTGTGGGAAAGACACACAGGTCCCAGCATTCCCTTCATATGACTGGAAAGCTTTCGAGTAGGCCCCAGACGATCATGGTTCCTGTCTCTCGATAGGTCTTTCCTCATGGGTCTTTAGAGGTCATGTACCCACATCATAGCAATCATCTGTTTTCAAATAGAAGTCAGTGGGATGATCATTTGTTGCCAGCCACACACCTGCATGTCTGAGGCTCCTCCACAACTCCTCTGCCATCCTCAGAGATTTCTAGCTTGTTTTCTTGGCAGTGCCAAAGGTAAATTTTTTTTTAAAGACCTAGGGATTTATCCCAGTGGCTAGAATGCTTGCCTAGCAGGAACAAAGCCTTGCGTTTGATCCCCAAGCACTGCAAATAACCAGACACCAGTACACATCTGCAAACCCAGCAGTTGGGAGATAGAGGCAGGAGGATCAGAAGATTAAGGCCATTCTTGGCTACACAGTGAATTTGAGGCCAGTTTAGGCTGCTGGAGAGCTGGCACATTGTCACTAGGCCTACAGCTTTGGGAAAGGTGAGCTACATAACCTAAGCAGAGAGCAAGATGTACATCTGTATACAAAGAGATCTGGGAAAAGCACTGTGTTGTAGAGTAGAAAAGAGTAGGTCCAATGGGATGGAAGGGCCCAAAAGGAGGTGTGGCCAAATGAAGCCAGGAGGTAGGAGGAGCTGGGGACAGGGGGTACAGTGCTGTGGTATCTCAGAATGAGTCAACAACCAGTTATTGATGTTCTACTCCGGGCCTTTGACAAGCATAGACAACCTTGTTCCATCTTTAAAACCTTTATAGATGGCAGATTCCAAACCCTGAGCCAAGGCTTGGGGGAGATGCAATGTCATCTATCAGATACTGTGCAGATAGTCATTATTAAAGCACTTGAGTCTAAATGTGTCATAAGTCACTGTTGGGTATTTCTTTGGGCCTGACTCAGTGAAAAAGCCCCTAATATTACATGATTATGGAAAGCTGTGAAAATATAGGAACCTCTGCGTATATGCTAGACATCATTGTTATTTGTATTTTTAAATTTTATTATTTCGTTTCGTGTGTGTGAGATGTTTTGCCTGCATGTACGTCTATGCACCCACATGCAAGAAGTACCCCTGGAGACCAGAAGATGGAAGGAGATCCTTTGGAAATAGAGTTGTAGATGGTTGTGAGGCATTGTGTAGGTGCTGGTAACTACACTCACGTCCTCTGGAAGAGCAGTTAGCACTTTTAACCTCTGAGCCATCTCTCTAGCCCCTGTTATTTGCATTTTTATATACTGTACATATTATTTTAGGTACGCATAAAATATCATATACATTTTAATAGAATATTACAGATATATCGTTCACTTTCTACACTGGAAATTGAGGCTCAGAGAGGCACAATTTCCCAAAGATCACTCCAGCAGGTGGTGACAGCTGGAACTAGAATAATTTTCCCTGGCCAGTGCCTGGTAGGTTTTTGGTCTACTTAAATTGGTGGAGGGCCAAGAGAGGCTGTATTCAACCCAGTGTTTTCTACCTTGTATGGCAGCATGGAAATCTGGAGTGCTTGGCAGTGAGAGTCTGGCGCCCTGCACTTGGCCTCCACAGCTGATGCCTAATTAGCCCACAAAGTGATTTCTTGTGGTTAACTTGTTTTGATACACTTTCATTTATTTTTAATCTCAGTAAGGATTCCTGGCCTTGAAAACATTTTACTTCATAGGCTCAGAAAGGCTTAGCACATAGACCTGAGGAGACATGAAGCCAGAATGCCTAGACAGGCAAAGAACTGAAGTTCCTGAAAGAGGAAAACATTACATCTATAACTGAAGGCCAGAATGGTCATCTGTTCATCATGACACCAGGGTGGCTTCCATGGGCCAGATCCCACAATTCATTCTGGAGATAGAGTACTGAGCAAGCAAGCAAGACCTCACAGCTGTCTTCATGTGACCTATGATTCACCTGGTAAGAGGGTCTATTAACAATCAACAAACTCAAAATATCACCTTATATCAGCTTAGCTGGCAGAACGCTGCCTTAGCATAATAGAAGCCAAGGGTTCCAACTCTACCACTCTGAAAGCCAGTAGTGATGGTACAGGCCTATAATCCCAGTACTCAAAAGGTAGAGGCAGGAGGAACAGAAGTTCAAGACCATCTTTGGCTATATGCATATACACAAGTTCAAGGTCAGTATGGATACATGAGGTGGTGTCTCAAAATTTAAGATAAATAAGAAGGTCGGCAAGTAGCTCAGCTGGAAGAGTGCTTGCGTAGGGCACATGAAGTCCTGAGTTGGGTCTCAAGCACTGAAGCCATTTGGGTATGGTGCTGCAGTTCCAGAACTGGGGAGGCAGAGGTAAAAGGACCAGGAAACCAGTGTCATCCTCTGCTCCATAGTAAGTGAAGGCCAATCTGGATACCTGAGATGCTGCCTCAGACCAACAAACAAACCACACCTCCGTTTATAACACAAAACCTAGTATATGAATGCACAGACCTGTGTTTGAGCATAAAATGAATGTAAGAATTTTAAAATTAGAAAAAACAACAACAAACAAACTATGGCTCATATGGAGTGTTGGCTGCCCAAGTAAATAAAAGTCGATGACAAAAATTGTAGGCTGTGCTCCACAGGAAGGAATTCATGCCTAATATTATAAACACTGCCAAAACCCGCGGCTAGAGAGGCCATGGGTCCTGTGGGTGGCTGAAAACTACTGTTGTTGTTTTGCTAAACGTCTGATATTGTGTTTAAATATACAAATCTGAGCTGCTTCCAGCCTTGGTCAGGGAAGCTTCCCATTGCAGTAGGTTGTGGTTAACAGAGAGAGGCAATACTACTCAAAGTGCTGAGAATAAGCAGCTGTGTGTTCCCAGCCACAGATGGGACAGATAATGACCATCTATCTCCCCAAGGCTTGGGGGGTCATAGCTAAGAAGGTGGTGGATAGGATGTAAGAGCTAGAGAATGGGGAGGAGAGCTTTGAATGCTGGGTATGACATGGCTGTTACAAACATGAACTCACAGAAACTGTGGTTACCTGCACAGGATCAGGCCAGTTAAAGATCCCCGAATATCTGTGGGAGGGGCTACCCAATCCTCACCTTAGCTGAGGAGCTATTGGCAGTTGATGGCTGGGGAAGGGTCACTTTTTTGATGAGGCAACCCCTATTTAGTTTGCCCAGGTTCTGGTAGGTAGATGACCCCACATACATGCACAGTGGACAGCATTAACTGGACTTAGTGGATCAAAATAGAGGACATGAAGTTGGGAGGGAGATGTGAAGATATCTCAGGGAAGGCTGATGGGTTGTGGGTCAGTATGCATTGCATACATGCATGAAAATTTCAAAGAGTAAATAAGAATGTTATTTTAAATGCACACACCATGTTATTCTTTAATATCCTTTCTTCTCTTTTCTCATGTGAAAAACTACACCTACCAGGTCCCCTTGCATGTGTGTCATATGATTAAATACTGACCAATGAAATATGAATGGCAGTTATATGTTCAATTTCTGGATTATGCTCTTAAAAGATGGAGAGGAGCTCCTATCTCACCCCAGTGCTACCTCCTGCTGACTTCCACATACTGCTAAGGCTGAAGCTGAAGCAGCCATCTGGGCCTACAAGATAGATGGAGTTCAGGCCTTCTTTAGGTGGAAGCTACCTAGACTGCCCAGTAGACTTTTGCAGAAGTGTGTTGTTTTGTGTTGTTGAAGTGTGTTGTTGAAGATGTGATTATTTGAAACTCTTAAGTACAGGAGCCCAGTCACTGTCCTTACAACCTGTCAGATGGCAAGAGCAGAAGCCAAGCCCCTTGCCTTTCCCAATTCAATTCCTTTCTATAACTCCTTTACTTATAGATTTAATGGTTCATTCTCTCCCACATGTTTGTGTGTTCATGACCTAATCTGGTCCTTACAATAGCTTTGTGACATCCATAGTAGAAAGAGGACTTTTGTGACTGTCACTAAGCAGACAGGAAAGCCAAGATACAAGAGTGGGAGATGAAGGACTACAGAAACAGTAAAGTATTTGCTGTGTAAGTGTCAGCATCAGAATTCAAGTTCCAGGACTCAAGTAATAGTCCAGCCATGGTATATACACTTGTAACTCTAGCACTGGAGTTACAGGTAGATCTCTTGAGCTCACTAGCCATCAGCCTAGTCTAATTGGCATGTCCCAGGGCCCAGAGAAAGGCCCTATCTCAAAAAACAAGGTGGGTTGCTTGTTAAAACACCTAAAGTTGACCTCTGACCTCCACATGGCCATCTCCACACATACTCTCCCATGAACACTGTGGTCATTTGAATGAGAATGCCCCTCACATATTTTAATGCTCAGTCTCCAGTTGGTAGAACTGCCTGGGAAAAATTATGAGGTATGGCCTTGGAGGTGTCAGGCCTCTCTCACACTGGAGACCAGCTTTGAGGTTTCAAAAGCCCACACCATCTTCAGTTAGTTCTCTCTGCTTTTGTCTTGTGGTTGTGTCTTAAGATGTAACTTCCAGACACTGCTCCAGCACCATGTCTACCTGCCTGTTGCCATTTCCCCAAGGTCAAGGACTTTAATCCTCTGAAACTATAAGCCCAACTAAACTTTATTCTAGAAGTTACCATGGTCAGCAATAGAAAAATAACACACACACACACATTCACACACTTTAAAGTAAATCATAAAAAAGAAACAAATTCCTGTTTTTCATGAAATATACCATTTCAGGAATTTTTTTGTAGGCACACAAATGGACACATGCTGTTATGAAACTCCTCTGCACCTCTTTCTGAGCACATTGCCATACATAAGTATCCCTTTCATGGATGAGTGTCTTAGCCCACCCACTTCCCATATCTGTACTCTGTGTGCATGTGGGCTGTCCCAACTAAGAAAGGTAGAAGCCACACCCAAGGTTGTCTTCTGACCTCCTCACATGTGCTGTGGCACAAAGGATTATGCACAAATGGGCAAGTAGACACCCCCCCCGCTCACCCACACTTGAACACACACACACACACACACACACACACACACACACAGAAAAATTGAGAAAGAGGCATAAGAGGGCTGAAGAAATGTAGATCTGATCCAACCCCAAAATGTCCCAAAATTCATCTGCACTGTGCAGAGTCCAGCAGGTGATATAACGGCAATTACCCAGTGAGCCTAGGTGGAGGGGGCAAGAAAAATGTTCCTGAAAAAAGCAGCACAGCAAGAGGCCCAGAGATGGGGTGGGGGGG